CCTGCTGAATTACATTTTAGGGAATACATGATGCAACTCTTCTCTGTTTTATATTTTCTTCATCAGTATTTCTAAGCTGATTTTATATTTTAAATCTACTCTTAAGCCTTCATAAAGTAACCATTCCAGATTACTACGTATTTAACACACTGAAACAAAGATGTTATTTTAAATTAATCAGTCAGAGATGCTCAGTATGTTCATAACAAAGTCCATTGCTTTTAGAAAATAAAAGCATTTTTCTGACATATGTTTACGTTAAAAATATGTTTCCAAAGATTTTGGGCATAACAAAGAATAGTGTATCTTACTACTGATTTTGATGGAGGGTTCTCTAAAACACACATCAAGCCCCTGCCCTAGCCCTGAGCACTAAATGCCCTCCCAGAGCCCCCACCTAGAACCTCCTTGGGCACCCCAACTGCCTGCCCCAAGTTCAGCTCAGGACCCCTCTTGCACACTAAATCCCTTAATCCAAGATCAGAGCCTGTACCCCAACCCTCTGCCCCTGCCTGTTGAAAGTGGGGGAGGAAGGATGGAGTGAGAAGGGGGCGGGGCCTGAAAGAAAGCAGGGAAAAGGGTATTTGGGTTTGAGGTAGATCTTGTATTGCACTTAAATTCAAAAAGTGATCTCATGCTTAAAAAGTTTGGAGACCACTGCCTTAATCCAAGACCGGAGTGTGCACCCCAACCCTCAGCCCCAGCCTGGTGAAAGTGAAGGAGGATGGGGGAGGGAGGATGTAGTGCACAGGGACTTGGGGGCACTTGGGGGCTTCGATGCACTTAAATTCAAAAAGTGATCTTGTGCTTAAAAAGGTTGGAGACCACTGGTCTAAACCATCCCTGACAGATGTCTGTCTAACCTGCTCTTAAATATCTCCAGTGATGGAGATTCCACAGCCTCCCTAGGAAATTTACTCCAGTGTTTAACAACCCATTTTTCCCAATGTCCAACCTTGCTGCAATTTAAGCCCATTGCTTCTTGTCCTATCCTCAGAGGCCAAGGAGAACAATGTTTATCTCTCCTCCTTGTAATATAAGAACGGCCGTACTGGATCAGATCAAAGGTCCATCTAGCCCAGTGTGCTGTCTGCCGACAGTTGCCAGCACCAGGTGCCCCAGAGAGGGTGGACCGAAGACAATGATCAAGCGATTTGTTTCCTGCCATCCATCTCCAGCCTCTGACAAACAGAGGCCAAGGACACCATTTTATCCCCTGGCTAATAGCCTTTTATGGACCTAACCTCCATGAAATTATCTAGCTTCTCTTTAAACTCTATTATAGTCCTAGCCCTCACAGCCTCCTCTGGCAAGGAGTTCCACAGGTTGACTACACGCTGTGTGAAGAAGAACTTCCTTTTATTAGTTTTAAACCTGCTACCCATTAATTTCATTTGGTGTCCTCTAGTTCTTCTATTATGGGAACTAATAAATAACTTGTCTTTATCGGCCGTCTCCACACCACTCATGATTTTATATACCTCTATCATATCCTCCCCTCAGTCTCCTCTTTTCTAAACTGAAAGGTCCCTTATAGATACTTGAAAACTGCTACCATGTCCCCTCTCAGTCTTCTCTTATCCAAACTAAACAAGCCCCGTTCTTTCAGTCTTCCCTCATAAGTCATGTTCTCTAGAACTTTAATAATTTTGTTGCTCTTCTTTGGACCACCTCCAATTTCTCCACATCTTCCTAGAAATGTGGTGCCCAGAACAGGACACAATACTCTAACTGAGGCCTAACCAGCACAGAGTGGAGTGGAAGAATGACTTATCATGTCTTGCTCACAACACTCCTGTTAATTCATCCCAGAATCATATTTGCTTTTTTTGCAACAGCATCACACTGGTGACTCATGTTTAACTAGTCTTCCACTATGACTCATAAATCGCTAAATCATGATGCTGAGCTCAGCCAAATAGGGAGTGTTAGCCAAAGGTGCACTGACTGAGTTAATTTAGAGCCTGATCTGATTGGATGGAATCATGCCTTTGGTTCAGAAGTGCGTTCTCCCTGGACCCTACCATATCTATCACTGGCAGATTTGTTTTAGTCTGTCAATAAGCACAGACACAGCAGTAAATTTAATCAATATATTATGAAGCATAATGGACAGAACAATACCATACAAATGATCCAACAATAACAATCCCAACCCCGTTGATATATGAAGAAGACAGTACAGATTAAACCATGAGCTACAGTTGGATACTATATTGGCTCAGTTGTCTTATGGTCTGGAACCGGTGCTCAGGACCCACTATCTTGTGGCTTCGATAGCCGAGAGGGAAGAACACTGAGGCATCCCTGGTGGTAAATGAGGTGACTTTGAACAGTTCAGTCTTTTGAAGAAGCATGCGCCTTCGCGACACCGTACAAAGCTATTCACGTGGATTACTAAACCAAACAGGACTTGCAGCGTTCACGTCCGATGTAGTGGGAGAGGTAGCTGCTGATTCACAATGTTGGGCATACGCCACAACCGTGGAACATAGCACCCTGGCGGCAGTAGGAGAAGAGCAGGTCTGGAAAAACAGACATGGTCCCGGCCTTCGCCACGGTATCCCAGGCCAGTGTATCTC